GTTCAAACTTAGGCAATGTTGTGTGGGGTTTTTTTTTACTCTCTTGATAAAGCGCAGATGCTTTTTATTGTTAACACAATCACTGACTTGCCACAATTCAAGAATATATAAGAAACAGTGTTGGAATTATAGTCTACTTTATTTCAAGAAAAGCCAAGGAACCATTGATTTGCCTCACTGCTACGAGTCGCTTCTTCTTAAAGATAATATCTAAACTGTAAAATTCATTATATAGACCCAGAAATGGATCAGGTTATTTAAAACAACACCACTAATGGTACAATATCTCAGCTGTCCACACTGATAGGGAACATTGTCTTGGATAGTGTTATCAGTCCTGGACACCCGCTATGAATATTGATCCGAAGCTTGTAACAGCCATCACTTGCCGTCAGGACAGGTCAGGGTTGAAACCCACCTAGCATCAAAGCAATTTAAAGACAGCACTCAGATGGAATTTTAATGTCTGCCTGTGCTGAAAAACAAACCAAATCCAGGCAGACTGTGTGTGCATGTGCGTTGGTGAACTGACAATATTTAAAGAAGCCCTTTAGCCCTAAAATTGATACTTTTAAGTTACTCTATCTGTTTCATGACTTAAAACCCAGTCAGCTAGAACAATGATTACAGTAAATTCACAATAATATATTCCACTATGGCCTATATATCAACTAACATGCTTTTTGTCTTTCAACATAAACACAGGTTTGTTAGGTTGGGGGCTATTTTGAAAGAAAAAAGAATCCAAACAACTGGGATATATTTGATTTTCAAATAGGCTCAGTAGCACACACTCATAAATAACAAGTCAGAATTGTATGAGAACATTATGAAATCAAAAGACAAATCAAATGAGCTTTATTTCCAGAGCAATTGGTTGCACCACAAAGTCCAAAGCTGTACTGAACTGTAAAAATAATGTTGTGCTGTTACACTATTTTAACGTATCTGTTTATATGATTAACCCTTTCAATAATTACACTCATTCTGAAATGTTTTATGAAATGTTCACCAAATATGACCCAGATCCTTATATTGTTACTTACCTCCCATATACACCTATAGATGCACATGTACATATACAATATCAATGTATAAATAACTTAAATTTCAACCACAGTAAAAGCACACCTACATGAACCTCTAACAGTAATTCATTTCAATGGGACCAATTGCCATGTAAGCTGCTTCTCAACATGAGTAATGGTGGCAGAATCTACCCCAGGGAGAAGACTAATATGTACTGCCAGATAAATAATGGTTTGTAAGATTATCCCCACAGACAATATTTATGTCACTGCCTGGAATCTTTTACCAGTGGATCACATTATTTTTGCCTATTTTTCACCCTGGCCAAGAAACAGAGATGTGTCTTTGTTTAACTGTGTATGTCTTCTTTATTCACCTATTTTCTTTCTCTTCAGTTATTTTCCTTTATTTCTTATTTACACCTCATATCTTCTCCTGTATTTCCAGTTTTTACTCTACCGGTAGGCAATTTCATGATATAATTATGATCATTATTTGGTAGTCTAGGTTTAAGGTAGCTTTCAAATATGTTGGCATTACTTATATTGAGCACTTGTACAACAGTGGTACAAGTACATGACATATTTGAACTTCCTCATGGTATAGAGTTTTCTTTCCCTTGTGTGTGATGGTGCTGCCACGAATGCCTCACAAAGCAAAATTGACAGATGGCTCTACTTTTCAAACATGAATTATGTCTGAGAGCAGAGCTAACTGTTCGATCCTATGCAGACTCCTTTGAGGTTGTGCCACCATTCCCTCCTCCCCACAAACGTGCTGTGGAACCAGTTGCATTTTGGAGAAAGCTGCAGGTGCAAGGGGGAAAAAACAATCACAAGGATGTGGGGAGTGGTCCCCACCTGACAGGAGAGGTGATGCTCAAAGTGTGACAATCAGACATGTCTTAAAGTCATCTGAGTTGGTGGCTGACACAACAAACTCGTTGTCTCAACTGAAGACAAGACTTTGAAGAACTCTATGGACAACAGGTTCCACAGCTGCCTGCCTGTTTCATGTGTAAAGCCTTGCCTCGATTCCACTTTGCAGAAGGTGCAACTTGAATTTACAGTGAGCCATCAGTGATGGGAAATTATTTTCACCACTGGAGGAAGCCTTTTGCATGTTTGTTTCAAATTGTATTTGCCTTGCATCTGTAATCAATAAAATTGAGTTTTCCCTTTTGTGCTCCAGATTTTTGTTCTGGATTAAAATGGTTTGTACAACCCTGGAAAAGCTGTATGCTGAAGACTTGCCTCTTTACACCCGAGTTGTTTAGGACCCACCCTATTCATCTATGGGTACAAATCAGAAACATATATTATTTCTCTTTTATTGGTAATGAGAATTCACATGGAAGGTGGTGTCCTGTCCACCACCTTACCTACAAGTCCGCCCCTTGTTTGCAAACGTTGCAGACGTTAGATGCACGTCTCTGGAGATGAAATACCACAGTTTAGGAGCTGTCATAGAGAAAGCTGATAGGATGCAAGTACCCTACTGCACAATGTTTATTTGTTGAGAGAAGGGAGTCTGTTCTACATTAGCAATCCAGAAGCTGGTTAGATGCTATTCCAGTGGTAACCAATATAGTTTATGTGGGAATGTTCTGGGATGCAGGAGAGGATATATTGTGAGATTATATCCTAATCCAACTTGTGCTAACAAGTTCCCAAAATATCAGCAGAGTTTATAGACATTCCCCTTTGAGTTCGCAACGGTAACGTCTGCACAGGTTCGCTAGAACCTCTATAATAATTACTCTGGTAATTTCCCCTTTTGTTCCCTCTTAAAATACAAGACACGACACAGTCTTTATAAAAGTAGAAAAGAGTTTACTCACGTTCTGTTCACAATATGATCCCAGAAGGCAGACAGCTTAAAAAGGTTACATACATTCAGAATCTATCTTATAGTAAGATAGTCCCGTCCTTTCTTGGCTGAGAGCCAAGAGGGCATCCTGCTTCTTCAGAAGTGATGGCAGGAGAGCGAGAGGCAAGAGAGAGAATGGCTGCCTGCCCTGTGCTTTTATCATTACCTGCACAGGTGAGGCCACACCCACCTCTGGTCACATGCGGAGGAAGTCCGTCCCCAGGAAGTTTACCTGCTTGCTGGACAGACATCCCTCCCCATGTTCTAACATGTACACTCTAGGAATGTTGTCATTGACTGCTCCTGTGTTTACATCCCACAGTTTAGAGTAGTGCTTTGCCTCCAGGCAGCTGTTGTGGCCCACACCATAGGCATAGCCAGGCTTTATGTTAGGGGGCAGAGCCTCAGTTAGTTAAGTATTTTGTATTGATTTACTTGATAGGGGGGGCAGCTGCCCCTCCCTGCCCCCCCGGCTACACCCATGGCCCACAGCACTCATCACTCACCAGTCACACCAGGTTGGTGAAGGCTGCTTTAGAAGAAAGTAAGTTGCTCAAGTTCCCAGGAAAGCAGGTTCCATTTCAAAGCTGCTCACTGGGTGGTACCAGACAGGCCATTCTCAGAGCCTTTGTTTTCCATCTGCAAAACAGAAATAACAATATTCACAGTGCCAAGCACTGCAAGACTAAAGCTGATATAGATTGTAAAGCACTTGTGAAATGAAAGTGGTAGAATAATTCCAGATTATAATTTGGATGAATAGCACCTGGTTTTGTGAATGTGCTCATCATCTGAATTTTCTGCAATTTCATGGAAATGTTTCTAACTTCTTAATCGCTGAATGTTCAAAATGTTGCTTTGTTCTTTTAAAAAAACCCACACACAACAAAACCTTTTATCCTTTTTAAATAAAGTTGTGCAGGTTTGAAGGGGACTTACGGGGCAATCTTATGCACATCTACTCAGAAGTTAGTCCCACCACATTTAAGAGGGGTCCCGGGTGTGTGACCTTACTCTCAAGCGACGGTACACAGGCTACCTATAAAAAGAGATACAGTGGTACCTCGGGTTACATACGCTTCAGGTTACAGACTCTGCTAACCCAGAAATAGTGCTTCAGGTTAAGAACTTTGCTTCAGGATGAGAACAGAAATTGTGCTCCGGCGGCGCGGCAGCAGCAGGAGGCCCTATTAGCTAAAGTCGTGCTTCAGGTTAAGAACAGTTCCAGGTTAAGAACGGACCTCTGGAACGAATTAAGTACTTAACCCGAGGTACAACTGTAGTATATTTGTGACTTCTATTCCCTTGCAACTGTGTTTTCCACAGTTGCCCACAGTGCACTGCGAGAATTAGACCTTACAGTAGGCCTGGGATGTCCTTCCTTTTAGAGATTTAAGATTCTGTATTGCCTGGGCATTCTTATAAAGGCACAGAATTCCAGAGACTGTAGGTTACAAAGGAATGGCAGCTCTTGCTCTTCCCGAATGAATGCCCCACAACAACAAAGCCTCCTGCGATCCCCTCGGAGGCTTCAGTTGTGATCTGCCTCCAGGGGAAAGAAGTGAGCATCTCCCTTCTTACCCTAGTGACTCATTTATTATAGCAAACACGTTTCACTGTCACTTCATACCCTATAGGAGGGGAGGGAGCGGAAAGGCTGCAATCTCATCGATTAAAATACCATTTCCAAGGCTTGTCCTCTTCTCCACGTGTTTGGGCGGGCAGCAGTTGTTGTTTTTTTTTTAAACCCCAACAACCACAGAATAATAAAGGAAGCAGAAGGAAAGTGGCAGTAGTAGGTGGATTGCAAGCCCCTTCCTTCCAATCGCAGCCTCCTTCGCTTGTTCATCTTGGATCCTCCTCTTTCTCCTCTCCCTCTCTTCCCCCCACCCACCCCGGAGATCCCCCTTATCTCCAGACAAACCTCTCCGAAGTCCGCGCTGGGTGCATCCGAGGGAGACCCTCCTGCCTCTTATGGACAGCCTCCCCCCGGGCTCAAGCCGCGCGTCTTCCGAGGGAAAGCGGAGCTGGCTTTTCACCTGGCCGTGCATTTGCTGCCAAGCTTGGGCCGTCGCAGATCTACCTGGGACTCGGAGCGGGGAATGCTGGACTGTCCGGAGAGTGGGGCCAAAGGAGCCCCCATCCACACGAAGATCTCCTTCTCCATCCTGGACATCCTGGATCCTCAGAAATTTACCAGGAAGAGCAACCCAGCAGCAGGGAGAAGGGAGAGCATCCCCCACGCGGGGCAGCGGGAGAAAAGTTTGGGGAGAGTTGACGTGGAAAGGCACCCGAGCAGCAGGAGGAATAAACTAGAGGCATATCATGGTAGGCGGCGCGTTCTGCTTTTATCTGATCCACGCGGTTTAGCTGGGTTTCAGGAAAAGTTCCGAGCTGGCTCATTTCTGGAAAGCAGCAAACGATGCTTCCAGGTGTCTTTCTTAGCATAACTTCCAGAGGGGGTAGTGGAGGGGGGAAAGAAAAAGGCTTGTGTGACCCATTAAAAGTTTTAATAGATTATAGTGTTTTACTGGGATTCACCATCCCATGCATATATGGTCCCCCTATAGATCTGTGGCTATGGAACCGCAGGGGAGCGTGTGAGACTATCCCAGGATTACTGCTGCGCTTCTTGATGGGACACCAAGCGTGGGAACGATGCGCAGCAACGGTTAACTTTGTAGTTTGTGGGTCGCAGCGGGGCTTGGCTTGAATTCAGTTTCACAGAGTGGTAGAGTTGGAAGGGACCCCAAGGGTCATCTAGTCCAACCCCCCGTTTGTTGGCTGAGAGCGCAGAAAGGCTGATTTTCCTTGATTTAACTGATTTAACGCCTGGGGGCGGAGGCTGCTTAACATAACTTTAAAACAAACTCTTAACCTTAAGAGGTGCAGGCAAGGCGGAAATTCAACCGGTGAAGCTCCTGCAGTGATGGCAAGCTGAATCTCCGCCCCCCACCTGTACCTGTTAAAGACGCAGGACTTGCCATGAATTAAAATACCGATAATGTTGTGGATGATGGATGACGGATCCCCAGCGTCTGGTGAAGGAAGTCACCTTTTGCTTTTCATTTCTGTGTACGTGTGAATCCTCCTCGCATTCAAGACAGGGTCCGCGGCGGAGCTAAACGCCTGGATTGGGCTATTATTACGGACGAGGTGCATCCTCACTCCCCTCTCTCACTTCCTCTCGGGGCCGCGGAAGGTCGCAGCTTCCCAGGCCCCGCGGCCCGGCTGCGTTTCCCCTTTAAGAAGCGGCGGAAGGGGACACGGCGAGCGCAGCGCGGTCCCCCTGGCGGAGTCCCGGCGGAGTTCGCCGCGCCCCCAGCCGGGTCTGCGCGGGAAGCTGCAGCCCGGCGCGATTGTTTTCGGCTCAGCCTGGCCGGATGGCAGCCTGATTGGCAGAGGGACGCGCCGGGCGAAGGACAAGCGAGATAATTGTTCCTGTGGCCTCCCCCACCAGAGGATGCCTTCGCTCCCCCTTGATCGATATCCTATTACCGACTCCCGCGTATCTCCTTCCCACAGCTTGCCGGTACCAACTTCAAACCCCTTCCCCCCCGTCTGATCCTAATATTGTTCGATTAAAACTTACCTTTAATAGATGACATCTATCGATCCGCCCCTTCACAAATCTGAAACTCTATTAGTGCGGCCGGGGAAAAAGAAGATGGAAAAGAACGGGAAGGAGGGCGGGGTGGGGGGTGGCGAGAAGGTGGAGGATTTACTTCTCTTTTTAAAAAAAACACAAAAAAAGTTTTCTTAACTTTCCCCCCCTTCTTAAGAATATCTGTATCTCCTGCCAGTTTCCCATAATTAGTTCCCCAGTTCTGAGATGATAATTCTGGTGGAAGGGGCTGCTTAAGAAATGGCAAGTTTGGATGGGGCGGTAAAGCAGACACGCGACATTCATTCATGATTCACGTTATGTACAGTCTTGCGTGTTGTCTTATCGGCCCGTCCATTTATTTATTGCATTTATATGCCAGCTCGAGGTACATAGTTCTTCCTCCATCCTTCTCTTGATTTAATCCCCACAACAACCCTGTGAGGTAGGTTAGACTGAGTCAGTGACTGGCCCACGTAGACCCAGTGAGCTTTATTGCTGAACCTGGTCCCCCGTAGTTCCTTAAGCGTTGCACTGCACTGGCGCCCATCAAAGCTCTTGTCTTATTGGGCAGAAGCCCCCTTAGGTACACACCAAAAAGAGCAGTTTCCCCCACCCTCCATATCATATTGAAAGACAGTCCCACGGCAGGTGGTGTACTTTCCTTCCTTGGAGGTTTTTAAGCAGAGGATGGATGGCCATCTGTCATGATGCTTTAGTTGAGACTCCTCCATCGCAGGGGGTTGGGCTAGCCTAGATGACCTCCGAAGTCCCTTCCACCACTATGATTCTATGAAACACCTTTATTGAAACTGGAAGTTCTAGGCTCAGGCATGCCTGGAACTGAAAACAAGGTCCCTGCAGAGGAGGCATCAGAAGCCGGACGGGGAGATACCGAGAGGATCGCAGAAGGGACAAAATGAATCTCTGCTGTGGGGAGGGGGACGGACGGACATGTTTAGATCCCTGAAAGAAAAACAAGTTCATTTTAACGCTCACATCGTAAACACGCTTTCTCTGAAGTCCGACTGATTTCGAGGGGGTTAACTTCCAGGAAAGCATATTTGGAACCCAGATCCTCTTTTACTGAACCATTTGTGGTTCAGTTACTGACTTGAATGTGGAAAGTAACTTTCTTTCAAGGGTCCAGCAACGGGGATGCGCCGTATTTAGCAATTTCCCCCACATCCCTGGCACCCTGTACGTCCCGATATGGGACACTGGCAACTTCTCGGGGGGAAGGCACTCTGCGTAAGCTCAACGGCAGTGATTAAAAAGTCAGCATTGCTTTTTTGACTTTATGCGCACCATTTCTTTTTAAGGCGCCGCGCATGTTTCCAGGGCTAAGACCCTCCGAACCGTGTGTGTGTGTGTGTGTGTGTGTGTGTGTGTGTGTGTGTCCGTGTGTCCGTGTGTGTGTGTCCGTGTGTGTGTGTCCGTCAATGTGATGCAGCTGAACTGAATGCAGTGTCCGCTCCATCGGGCGGCTCACTAGGCCATGTGCGCAATTACGCGGAGATTGCGATGCAGATCCGGGCGGAGAGGACCCGCTTCCGGGCAGGGAAGCGGCCCTTAGGCGGGTCGGCAAAGGCCCCTGGCCTCATTCTGTCCTTGTGTGTCTCCCCAGATGGCAGCAGCAGCGGAGAGAGCGAAGCGGCCGCCCTGGAGGCATCGGAGCACGAGGAGCCGGGCCCCGCGCCGCTCCCCTCGCCCGACTTCCCTCCCTCCTCGTCCTCGGACCTGGACGATCCCGGCTCGTCTCCGCCGCCGCCGTCGTCCAAGAGGCGCCGAGCGGAGCCCAGCTGCGCCAAGCCTCGCCGGGCCCGGACGGCCTTCACTTACGAGCAGCTGGTGGCTCTGGAGAACAAGTTCCGAGCCACGCGGTACCTGTCGGTGTGCGAGCGCCTCAACCTGGCCCTGTCGCTCAGCCTGACCGAGACGCAGGTCAAAATCTGGTTCCAGAACCGAAGGACCAAATGGAAGAAACAGAACTCCGGAGGCGACGGCGCGGCGCAGCCGGGGAACAGCGCATTGCCCGCCGGAGGAGATGGCAGCCCCAGTCCGCCAGGCCCCAGCAGCCTGGCCTACCAGACTTTCCCCTCGTACGCCTCGGCCAACGTCCTCTTCCCCGGGGCAGCGCCCCTTCCCCTGGCTGCAGGAGGGGGACCCTTTCCCTCCTTTTTTAGCCCCACTTACCTGGCCCCCTTTTATACCCCTCACCTATAAGAGGAACCTGTTCCCTGCAGGGTTTGCAGGTGCCCCCTGCGCGGGAGTGAAGAGCAAACCCTCTACCGAGCTGAAGCAAACCAAGGAAATCCAGTTTTGACACCCCATCTGCTGAAATGTCTGTTTTCCTAAGTGTTATTTATGAGCATGCCCTCTAATATTCCACCCTGTGATCACCATTACCTAGTTATGGGTGCTTTCCTTCCACCCCCCTTTTTTATAGTTTTGACTTTGGGTTGGAAAAGAGAAGGGGGCGGGAATACATCCCAATCCCAAACTTTTTTTAAAAAGCAAAACCAAAACTTCATCAGTTCCTTTAAATCTGCAGAAACCAGAGTGAATTTCAATGCAAGAATATGGATTTATTTCAGAAATAAAGAGGGCAGCTATACATTATTTTATATGTATAGGGCTATTCCTTTTGATTCTTCTATAGAGAATGAAAGAAGACACAAATGTGGATTTAACAGGCTGGAAGGACATCAAAGGTTCCCCCACTGTAATGTTCTCCTCCTCCCTCTAGTTTCTGTCTGCTGCCCTGTGATGCACTGAGCCACTGTAATTCAGTTCCCACCCTTGTTAAATTGGCTAGATGCTGGACCAGTCCACAGTATGCACGCTAAGGTATGCATACTATAGCGTACCCATGCTGCATGATCCTGTCTGAACATTACATTCACTCCTAGGCAGAAATACAGGATGTGTGTAACAGTGGAATATGCAAAATGTAGATTGGAAATGAAGGCAGTATTTTAATAAAATGTGCACTGGACTACATACGATCTTGTATTTAAAAGCAAATGTTCCTGCTTACTGGTACGTCCGGAACCACCAGAGGGCGGTATAAACCTTATGTGGGGTTCAAGTAACTAGTGGGTTAATGTTAATCAGTGCAACCCTATGCACGTTTGCAAGTCCAGTCCCACTGTCCAAGGGACTGCACTCCCAGATAATTGTGCATAAGATTGGACATAAGTGTGCTGCAGACTACAACCTCAACCAAAGTAGAGATCCCATTCTAGTTTAATGATTTGAAAAGGTTTTGTTCATGTACAAGAACAGGTATTGTGGGTTTTTTTGTTTTGGTTCTAAATATAGACTTCATACGTAAAAATAGCACCTCGTACTAAACTGAGAGGAATAGCACCAAGCACACTATAAGATACTGTAGGCGTTTTACTACCTTTTGTGTAGAAAGAGAGCGATCACCAATACAATAAACACTGGCTGCAGATCTTCAACCAACTCACACCTCCTTTCACGCTAGTGCCTTGTTGCTACCATCCTGCTGACCAACCAAGGCAGGCAAAGGTTACATTAAAGAGTAGTAGGGCTGTATGTGTACCATATCCTGAAATTCAACATGTCTCTAACCCAGAAACCGCAGATTGCACTCACTTGACATACAGGATAAGGCAGGCATCACAAGTGTGGCCCATAGGTACAATGGTGCTCTTAAGAGTGCTCAACAAATCCTCTGAGTCTCTCTCCCATTCAATGTCCCCTTGGTCATGAGGCACTAAATTATGGTTGCCTTTTTATCTCTTGAAAAGTACATGGAGCTGAAGGAGGAAGTGTTGCTCCTTGCCACTTCCTTTTTCAGCTCTATGCACTTTTCAAGGCTTAGATTAATTCCACTGTAGGTGGCCAAAGCAGGTGGTGCTCACAGCAGTTGCTGAAAAATGTGCCCACAGGCTTAAAAAGTTGGCAGCTCCTGGAATAAGGCAAGATGTAGATTTTGTAGAATGTAAGGCCATCTCCTGTTTGACCCTATAACAAAGACAAAAAAAGGTTGATTTGGGTTTTTGGAAGAATATGCATTCAAGCCATTTCCCAATGAGGCTTATCTGCAGAATTTTTTCTTTGGGGTCCAACTTTTTCACTTCTGAAGATCATTCTCATCTTAGCCCCTTTGTGGTACAGTTCAAGTTTTTGCCCAGGAGGATGGTTAAAAACACACCTATATATATATCTTACATTGTCTATATGCTTTTTAGGGTAATACAGTTTTTTTTGTTGGATGGACAATTCTCTTATCCTCATATGTGGATTGTTTCTTCCTTTTTAAAAAAAAGTGGGGGGAAGACTTAATTTAAAAAATGTATATGTCTACTCAAAAATCCTCCTGGGTTCAACGGGGTTTACTCCCAAGTGAGGGGGGGGGGTTAGGATTGCAGTCTTAACAAAAGCCCTCTTCGGGTATTATGTAGTTGTGTTAATCATACACATGAGTCAGCAGCAAGAAGTACCTGTGCCCCCACCATTCCAGTTGAAGTGGGGATGCTCCTGTATTCGTGGAAGCTCCCAACGCATTTTAGAACCCTGGAAAAATGGTTTTGCAGTCCTGTGCACCCTTACCTGGCAGGTAAGGCCCACTGAGCACAGTGGGGGTTAGCTCTTGAGTAGATATGCATAGGCTTGCACTATAAAAGAATGAGCTACGAATCAGCAAGTCCAAGTCTGCCATCATGAACACATTAAATGACTCCAGGCAAGCCACTCTCTCATAAGAGCATAATAAGGACTTGCTGGATTAGGCCAATGGCTCATCTAGTCCCACATTCTGTTCTCACAGTGGCCAACCAGTTGCCTACTGGAAGCTCGCAAGCAGGATCTGAGTGCAAAAGCACTTTCCCCTCCTGCGATCACCAGCTACTAGTGCTCAGATGCATACTGCCTCCAACAGCATGGCAGAGCATAGCCACCGTGGCTAGTGGTGAGGGACTCAGGCTCAATTCCCCCCTCCTTCAGTCCACTTCGCAACATTTTAGAGAATACTGTGGGCTTCCTTACAGGATTGTTGTAAGGATTATAACGAGGTAAACACAGGTGAAAGACTTTGAGCACTGAAAAATGCTATACAAATGTTTATTATCACACACATTGGTGTGTGTGTGTGTGGGGGGGAGAGGTAAACATTGGTCCCGGAAGGCTATGAAAGTAAGAGGTCCAGTGCACCTGCGAATTCTCTGCAAAAGTCAAATGTTCGCAGCATAGATCACTCCCTGTTCTTAACTTGTATCAACTTGGACTTTCCATAGATGTGCCACAGCAGTTCTACACTGAATATCCTAGCTTTGCTGTTTCCATCTCCCACTTTCTGTATCCGTGCTTGTATATTTATTTGCCAACAGAGAATATAACACTCCACGCACCTGATGAAGTGCTCATCAATTTCTGAAAGCTTAAGCCACCACAAATCTGTTAGTCTTTAAAGTGTCACAAGATACGATGCTTTTGCTGCAGCGGAAAATATTACCTCCCTTTTGGCACTTGAAATTTAATCCTTACTCCTCGGAGCCTTCAAAGAAATAACCCCTATGCCCTCTAGTGGAAGTAAAATGGATACACTTATTCCTGAAATGGAGAGAGGACCAATAAAAGATTCTTTGATTAACATTATTATGTTTTAACCTCGTGAAGTGTGTTAGTGAAACATACCATGATCTACCCAGGCCTGTGCAGGGAAGTTCATAACTGAACAGAGATCTGAGTGTCTGTTTCAGAGTTCCAAACAATACTCCAGGCGAATGGTGCCTCTGGGGCTGGCCAGGGGGTGCTGGTTGCCAGGAGCTGAGGCAGCCTCGGAGTAAGCAAGCAAGTGGGTGAGGGAGCCCAGCCAGCCAGTCCACCAGCCCCTACAGTTGGGAATGGATGGACCAGCAGGAGGCCAGGCAGGCAAGCAGCATGCTGACCTTTCTTCTGCTTGCTGTGTGCAATGCCTATCTGGGAGCTGAGTGCCCGGCGCCAAAGGGGAGCCTTTCTGCCCTGCAGGCCTGGCGGCACCCGCTGCTGCCACTCAATGCGAGTAAGATGCTGGCTTCATGTTCACCTTTGACTAGTCTCCGTCAGGCCACTAAGGCTGGGGGCATCCTCTTCCCAGCCCCCTGAAGGGCAGCGTGAGGAGTCACTTCTCTTTGGGGCAGTAGCAGCGGCTGCCCAGAGGACTCCCAAGGAGCGGCAAGAGGAGTGGAGGCTGAGGGAACACTGCACAAAATTGCGAGAGGCTGCCATTTCTGCTGGCAAGGGGTGACATAACTGGGCTTCTGAGGCTTGGAGTGCATTTCCTTACACGGGAGCCACAGAAAGGATGTAGTTGGTCAAGGGAGCCATGGACTCAAAAAGGCTGAAAACCTCTGCTCTACATTAAAGGTATGCTTCCTACCCGACTTCTTATTTCCTTTTTGCCTAATACGAATTAGGTACAGTACATGATTAAACTTTAGAAACAGTAGCCACTGTTTGCTTTATATTGCACAACAAATGATTAAATAATCCTGGCCATGAGAGTCCGCAACAGGGTAAGTTTCAACAGGTAAGGGAGGTGAGAATGATGCTTTGGTTATTCCCCATTTTCTAGGAACAGAAAAATCTGTCCAATTTGATTTCTCTCTGTTTCTCATTTTTCTAATCTTAAGTTCTGTTCTCCACATTTTCACATCAGTTTGCAAAGTCCTCATGAGAATTCGCCAGCATTTTTCAATTGTGTATGTGCACAGGCAGCCAGCTGGGGCTGGAATTTCCAAGGAAGAAGAAAGACTCAACCTCAACCTGTTCTGATTTTTCTTTTCAATAGAAAAGTGCATTGTATATAAAACTAATGATTAAATAAATAAATAAATATTCATAAGTCTTTAGTGGAAATGTATCATAGTATATGCATTTTTGAATGCAATTTCACTTAATGCCCACTTTTTTTTGCCAAACAATTTCTCCTGATGAAATGCATTTTTAAAGGTTCTTTTCACTGATGTATGCTTTTTTCTGCATGCTTTATTAAAGTGTATGCATTTTTGGTCCATGTTACTTGGTGGGAGAACTGCACTGCAACGTTTGGTGGAGTGTGAATTCTGAATAATGGCTATGCTTTGGGTAGCCAATTGATTTGGGAAGTGCATATTAGCTATGTTTGCCTTTAAATGCAAACTGCATTGAATTTCTCCCCCAATGCTACTGCTTAAAAAGGGTTTCAAAACTCCTTTTTTTTTTTTTTTTTACAT